GAAATCTTTTGTTGTTATTGGCTAATGGCCATTGTTCATGTGACATTCTGAATTTCAACCTATTTTTGGAATTTATGAAATGAATATTTCTTCAATGCGCTTTCAGTAAATCTCGCTCGAAATTGATCACTCTCGAGTAGACTAACCGTTAGGGAATGACTAGCTAGGAATCAAGTACGTGGACCTAAGAACTTGGCCATGGATTGACACTTCGATCATAAGGATTGACAAGGAAATATTTTGGGCCGTTATAGGCCAATCCAAGGATGGTTATGGAACGATTCGCAAATGTTGTGCAATTGGGTCGCGGGTGATTCCGCATGGCCATTGTATAAATTTCGAACGATCCTAAACATAATCCGAATTATCGCGTCATTCGGAACTAGTGATTAATCCTCGCAATTACATGACAACCGTGATCACCACGGCTCGAGTAAACTTAGATATGGCTCGATATCGAATCGGCCACGAGTCGATACGTTTAATTCCTAAAAGCCGTCCGTTAGTTCGAGATACTCTAAAGTCGCATTGAATTTGGTCATTAATTAGAATTCGAATTGGGTATCGAAGTTTCAAGATTTCCACGACTAATTTATTGGATGTCGTCTCGTTAAAGTGTGGCTAATTATCAGGTCGATCAAAATTCCAGAAAAGGGGAAATTTATGGACGAATTATTGGTTAAGATTATGTTGAACACTTCCCTCTCTTGTCTCTCTCTCCTCTCTCTCTCCTCTCCTTCTTTTCCGCTGCCCCACGCTACCCCCACATTGCCTCTGACTTCTGCTGCTGACTTCTGCCTCTGCTTGCTGACCCCGCTGACTTCCTAACCAAACCCCACGTTGTTGCTGACTCCCCCACCAACTCCTCTCTCTCTCTTTTTCTTCTTTTTCTTCTTTTCTTCTTTTCCTTCTTGGCTTCGTTTCTTCTGCTTCTTTCTTCTTCACTTCTGTTTCTGGTTCTGCTTCTTCTTCGGCTTCTCCATTTCATCCTGCCAGACCAGCCCCTTGTTCAGCCTTGTTCCGACCAGCAGCTGCCGTCCAGGTCACCAGAAACTGCCGCTCACCGCCGGAGACCGCCGCTGCTCACCGCACCACCATTTCATTCATTTCTTGCTCGATTTTCTTGGGTTTTTCCAAGTAAGTGGCTTCCTAACCCTTGACTAGGCTAAGGGGTGACTAATGGACATGTTAGGGATGGTTTAAGGGCCATGGATAGTTGGTTTAGTGGCTAGTTGTGCTTGGTTTGCTTGGTGGTGCTTGTTGGTTGATTTCCGGTAAGGTTGCTGCTGCGTCACTGGTCTTTGCTATTTTATTTGTGACTATTGTGGGCCGAATTTGTGAAAGTTTTCTTCATGAAAGTTGTTCATAACATCTTGAAGTACAACATAATTTAATTTGGGAATTTTTAGAAGTCATTTGAGGCCATTCGAAAGTCCATCTTTGGACCGAAATAAGTCTGCCCGAAATACTGTTCCTCCGACCTTCTGGTCTGTTCGAATTTTTATAAAATTTTTCAGACCTATTTTCAAAATACTCCCTGCACAAAACTTGTTGGGGACATTTGTGACTATGACATATAAAAATTTCAAATCTTTCTTAGGATATTTGGTTACTGCTTGAAATGCATTTTGAAAGCCGGATGGCCAGTCCGAATGAAATATTTTATGTCCGACTTTGGATGACAAAAAGAGGTAGTTCTAGATAGAATTGGATTTTGTGTTCTCATGAAAAATGTTCATCAAGATGTTTTGTATAACATATCCAAATTTCAGAATTTTTGGTCACTGCACTACTGCCCAATTTGGCCCCGATTCGGTGTATACTCGGTTTTTCTCTCTCTCGGGGACTTTTCGGAGATTTTGTTACAAAAGAAAGGCGAGGCTTTTTAATTGATGAGTGCAGACTTAGTTGGCATTTGGTTAATTCATAAAGATAAGAATCGGTAATGGTTGTTGAGTGTGTGCATGGTCACGACACGTTCCGTCTAGGCGGGGGTTCTAGACGTTGCCGATCGCGGTGGAGGCCGGATCGATGCTCCTTTATGGAATGCCGTCTGGGCGGGGGTTCTGGACGTTGCCGTCGCCGAATTAGTGGGACGATGCCTGGTTTCGCCAGAAGACCGGCGAGAGTTCGGTGGCCCGATGGGTCGTTAATAATATGGACTTAATGAGTATGAATTGCATTGGGGAATGCTTTGTCTGAGTTAATTGATGAGCACGTCTGGATTATTAACCATGTTATGCTTGATCATGCCATGAATTGCTTTGCGCATGCTTGATGGGCAATTGGCCATGTTAGGGCGATATTCTAACGTGCAGGGCTCACGTATGTGCCGGGGTGAGGTAAGGGCGCCTGTGATTGTTATGACATGTTGGATGTCGGTATTGCATGTTTAGAATTGTTCAGAAGTACGCTTTGGCCTAAGCGAGGCTTAGGTAGTTGCTTATTGAGAAGTGTTCTCATGGTTGTATAACCAAACCATTTCAGACCCGCGACCGTGATTGATCCAGAGACGCTGCCAAGATACTACGGGGATTGAGGATAGGTCGAGTTACCCCGTCTTTTGAGTGCCCCTTTTTGTAGAGGAGTTAAGCTTACCAACCAACCGATCCTTGTTGTTGTGCGTGGTTCGTAGATAGTGGCCTCGTAGAAGGCTTGCAAATGTATGTGTTGTAATCGATGTTATGTTTATAAAAGTATCTTGTTGATGTGTATTCTTTGTCTCTCTACTATCCCATTGTTTATATGTTGTACGGAGAGTTCGAGGTTGTTTCCGCATGCGTTACTCGTTAGTGTTTCGATTGGGTCGGCGACAAGTCCTGGGATGCCGCGTACATTACAACCATGAAGGGATGATCGTGCGCTCATAGGGTTCGGGCCGTGACAGATCAGGTCACCATTGGATGGCCTCGAAAAATTGAAAAAAAAAAGAGGCTTGTACGACATGATCTGGCCAAAAACCTCGCGGATACTTTTTCCCAAAAACGAAAAAAAGTCTGTTGTTATGAGCAAGAACTCCTATACACTCCTACATATTCCTTTATTTCTTAGCTATTAAATTATAATTGAGCATTTAGATAATTGGTTCTATAATAGCTACTACACTAAGTTATATTATACCACTTTTATTTCTTCTTCTTTTTTTCCTTACTCTCCCGATCTGGAATGCAGGTCAGATTCCGAACCCTAAAATTGCAAAAAAGACTCATCTAAACTAACAACAGATCTACCTCCGAGCATAGTGCTAACCGCAAACTTGTTCCCCATTGCGGGCCTTGGAGTGCGGTATGTCGGTCCAAATTTCGCCTTCTCAAGCTTCTCTCTGATCCCGGGACATATAACATCCACTGAACTTTCCATCAGTCCTCTTTTCTTGCAAATATTTTCCGACAAAGAGCTTCTTATTTCCTGGGGCATGTCAATGATGGGCAAAGCTCTAGCTCTACAAATGTAGCTATTGAAGGTCTCACTGAGATTGTTATCAATGACATCACGTTTTGGAAACGTTTTAATAACAGCGATGCAAAAATGATGTTTTACCTGTCGCAAGAAGTCATCTATACCAACTTCTGACTCGTTATCTCCTCAATCACACATTGAAGTCAGTTTCGTGTGTGCTCTTGATCGCTTTCCAGAGAAATTTTGCATTAATATGCGTAGCAAAATTTCTTTCCTCTGCGAAAGGTGCTAGACGTGGAATAGCTGAGGTTTGCATTCCTTTTGTTTATCGCTAACCAATGTTCATCCAAGGCCAACATTGATGCCCAAATCCCGGAACAATATTTCCAAAAACGATCCCCAAGATGCCTCATTCTCACCTTCTACAATCGCCCAAGCAAATGGATACACTTGATTGTTACCATCTTTACCTATTGAGGAGATCTCGTGCTGAGCATCACGCTTAGTAATCCATTAGCTTTCTCTTGATAATTCACCTTTGAAAAGGTCGCAACATAGGTTTATTGATTAATATATCATTTTAATTTCGCAGCAAATTGATGTCGATATATTGTCTAGGAACATGCATCAGACTAAATGAGATAATAAGCTTTTTTCTAATTAATGTAAACTAATTTGTCTGACTAATTTTAAGGGAATTGAGAGGGAATGGAGCTTTATAACGACGTAGCTCAATCACAAAACTCCATTCTACCGAACTTTCTTAGTATTTATAGGTATCATTGAATAAGCAATCACAAAGTATTTTGGATGATAGGAGACATTACTAATTCTTACGATAGACAGGGAGGCTAGCTGAATCGAAGTGGCAGTAGCTAATGTAACTAAGAGGTAGCAAAAGATAGGGACATGATACATAATTAGCGAGAAGATAATAGATTCAAGGGGAGCTCATATTTCTGATCGAATAATTTGAAGGTGGAAGTACTCACAATTCACTCAACTCGACTCTAATTGAGAAACAGAAGGAGATAAATAGGAGAAACTCTAAAATTGAAATTGAACTTCTATTTCCATACACATTTTTTATCACTAGACTTACCTTTGTATAGGATTGTTGCATGGCTCTTGCTCTTAAATAACTCATAAATGCATCTAGCATTACAAGGAGATACATTCCTTAAATTTACAAAATGTTTTATTTTTTGTTCTAGAAATTTACAAAATGTTGAACTAGACATAGAAACATGAATCTAAGCATACATGAAGATTCTAGATGCATATAGGACATTCAAGAATTTGGATTTAATCATGGACAACTTCTACCGTAGAGGCGGTGGTCAATGTCACGAGAGGCATCAAAAGTTATGGCTGCACCACTCGCACTCCTAGTCTCTGCACTCCTACGCTCTGCAGTGATGCTCCCCGATATTGAAATACTTGCAATGATAATTAAGTCGGTGAAGCGGCGAACGAGAGGATTGTTGGACCCGAGCGGGATATACAGCAGAAGGTAGAAACTCAAGATGACGAAGAGGGCGATGGATCCCAACACCAAGACAACAATCGCAAGCCAAGCGAGTTTGGTTACGCTTACGTAGACGCCCGCCATGAATGCCAACGGCATAGCGGCAAGAGTTATCAACAATGGGAGTCTTGATTTCGAAAGGGCATTTCGCACCGCGTGAGGATCATTAATCTGTGTCCACAGAAGGATCATGAGTGCGATGATTGAGCTATACATGGTGATGAATTGGAAATCACAAAGACATTGTACATGGCTTTGTGGAGCAATATGGCGATTCCAGCATCTGGGTCAGAACCATTATATCCTCCGGGAATGGAAAAACCAGAAGCGAAAGTCATAGCGGCCACTAGCGCTACCACGATCATGCGAGTATTTGCCTCCTCCTTAAGTCTATCCATTTTTGGTGGTTCCATTTCTTTCCCTTTGCCCCGATTGGTTGCCTTACAAATAGCTAATTCTCCACTTCTCGGTGTCCCAGCAGATGCCAAAATTATCCGTGTTAACCTCTGCAAGTAGTGAGTCAAAGAATAAACAAAGAAACCAAAACTTTATGATTTTGGCGACTAAATTACTGATCTGGCTGAGAGCACACTAATTCACATACCTCACTAATTTATAATCAAGGTCTGTCCCTGATCGGTATACAATATGCAATATATGTTTACCCCTGACAAAAGTGTAAAAGATCGTACCTTCCGAAGTGGAGCATCCATTCCTTTCATGTCCTGCTCTACCACATCGAGAGCCGTCATGTTATTCGTATTTACCAGCTTAAGATCAACTCTTCTGTCTCGTGCAAGAAGAAGCAAGACCGAAGGTTGCCAGTGCAACGCAGCCACATGCAGGGGTGTATTCATGTCGAAATCTCTCGCGTTTATGAGGTGACCAAATTTGGGACTTTTCAGTATGTATTTGACAGTTGATATGCCTCCGTACCTCGCTGATAAGTGAAGAATGTTTTCTTGTTGTCTAGTTGGAAACTCTGCAAGGTCTAGCCATTGCTGAAGTAGCTCCTCGACAATCCTGACGTGATCCATCATGCAAGCGACATGGATAGGAAGATAGCCGTCTGTGGCGTCTTGCTCCAGGGCACTCCCTGGGAACTTCTCGATCATGAACTTCACTCCATCGAGATAATTTGTGTACGCGGCGAAATGGAGTGGAGTGCCGTATTCCGCATCTCTCAATTGAAATATCCACGGCTTCTTTTCCCACATCTCTGTCAGCATATCTAAATCCAGCAAAAGAATTTAATCATTTGGGACGAACACAAAGTCTGTAGTTCTTCATGGAGTTGATCCCGTTATAGACGTTTTAATGTATCGGGAGTTGACTCACAATAATGCCCCTTAAGATAGTAAGCTATCATACCATAAGTACTCGTGCCTCATTAAACTAGACTTTTGCTTGTGTTTCCACCACTAGCAGAAACGAAAATGAAGAAAACAAAAGAGTGACTAAGAAGATCAGAGAATAAGTGAGAGCACGAAAGTAGGGTTTACCCATTTCTCGGTACAGAATGGCGAAATGAACGGGTGACATGCCGAAATTCAATTCATTCTTTGATCTCCTCTCGTCTTCGCCTTCGTTTGGCGCTTCCAACAAGAGTTTGAGAACCTCCAAGTCTCCTGTTTCAACTGCTACGCACCATGGAGACTTGCTTTCTTTATTCTCACGATACAGCGGATAAGGGTCCTCAATCACCAGCCGACGGATCACCTCGTAACGACGATTCCTCACCGCCTCGTGCAGAGCGGAGTTGCCACTGTGGTCTCTGCATCTTGGCTTCCCCTTGGGAAGGAGAAGCTCCACTGCAACGGTTTTCCCGGCTCTAGCTGCAATATGCAATGGTGTCTCTCCTCTGGAATTCGCCCAGGAGATCAAGTCCTCAGAGATGAAATCGATAACTGTTCTGACAATATCACCACTCTCTGTTTTCCATTGATGTCAGGTTAATTGGAATGCGAAAGTTCGAGCATTTTGAAATGGGCAAAACAAAAGATAAATGTTACGGTTACTCCCTTCTCTAAATACCTGCCGCAGCATGAAGTAGTGTATTCTTGGAGGGGCTGCGTAGCCCAAGAACGACCGGCAACGACACTCCTTCCTTGGCACAATGATCCTCCAGGGCTTTGATGAACTTGTCGACGTCCCCTTCCTTCGTGGCCGAGTATAGCAGAGGATCCAGAATCTTGTTGGGTTGCGCAGAATTGTGCTGTCGCTGGCTCGGGTTGGCCACGATTAACGCTTCCAGTCTCTGCCTTCTCTGCTTCCACATCTCCTGGTCATCTATAGACAGCTTCACATCCATCTCAGTGTGCGTTACTATGTCTGTGACTTTGAGTGAATTGCCCTGGGGTCCTAAGAATCAAATTCAAGAGAGTTATAGCGACAAAGTCGAGTTTAACCAAAATGGCTTTAATGAACCCTCCCCAACGCACATTTTATAGCTGGGTAAAATGGGTCTCCAGCTCACGTACTTATCTCTTTTTCTTCTTTTTGGATGGATACACACTGAGGGTCCCGCCATGCACTTCAATGGCGACATGTCCACGTTCTGCGACAAATTTTTCCGAGGACGACCAGAAATAAGAAAGCAATATAGAATATAAAGAAATAGCAAAATACACTTTCTCGTCAGAGTTTTAACTATTATTTGAAAATTTAAAAAGTCAGAGAAAGGAATTATGTCGTTGTGTGGTCACTATTTATGAATTTTAAAATGTTTAAGATGTTTAACGTCGAACAAAAGTATAATTCCAAAGCAACAAATAGAAAAAAACTAAAAAAGACCAGAGTTCCTTTACCAAAGAATGAAAAGAAAAAATATCAAATAAAGGTCGGAAGTGAGGCTTTGTTCTCAAACTGAATCTTGTCTCAAATAAGTATCTGAAGTGGTTAATTTAGTCTTAGATAACGGCCTAAGCTCATCGGAAAAAACTAAAAAAGATCAGAGTTCCTCTACCCAAAGAATGAAAATAAAAAATATCAAATAAAGGCCGGAAGTAAGGCTATTTTCTCAAATTGAATCTTGTCTCAAATAAATATCTAAGGTGGCTAATTTAGTTTCAGATAAAGGCCTAAAGCTCACCGGCCATTGAGCATGTGTCATGATTGGAGGTATTTTCCAGTTTTTTCTATCTTTTTCTTTTTCCTTCTTCTGTCATCTGTTCATCTTCTGCTTCCTTCTTGTTTTTTTTTCCTTCCACACCAGTGCCGAGCCATATGAGCTCTGTGTTTCGCTTATTTCATGATGACAAACCTCGATCTCCAAGATCTCTTGCATTTCATGGCAAATTAAAAGGGGTATCTAAGAGAGATTTGAGAAAGAGATTCGGGAAATTGGAGAAAAAATCTGAGAATTTTACAAAAGGTCTTCTCCACCGCTTGACAGTGGAGGAAAAAAGGGAACAAAATTGACAGGAGAGGAAGAGAATTTTCAGAGGCGGCCGGAGGTCTCTCATGTGTCTCTTCCCCTCTCTGTTCTTCAAGCTGAACCCATAAGGCACGGGCCTAGATATTTTTATGGGCAGACTAGCCTCGAGTGGCCTCCTCACCTCTGGTTCACCACCAATGGAATTGGATTAAGAACCGAAATTTGATATCACTCCCCATGAGGGAACTCTCATCTCTTCATGTCTCCTCCTCATGTCTTCTGGCTCGATAGTCCGAATCACCAGAGTCACCTCCAGTGTTGTTGAATTCATCATCAGAACTTGGACGAGGATCGTCACAGCATGGGCGAATGGGAGATCCCCACGGTGGTGGTTCTTGTCTCATTTGATTCTCCAGTAGTAGGTTGAAGACTCGCTCCATTTGTTGCTGGAATTGGTTTATGGCAATATCACGCCTTTCGTTGTGGGCTTGTTATATAGTCAAGCTTCTTGAACTAGTTCATCCATTTGAGAATGGATGACGGACCCCCATTCCTTCCCACCAGCAAGCAAGCAACACGACTCTCCTGAAACAAGACTACCACACGAACACTCCAGAGCAAACTCACCACACAACAAAACAGAAGCAATTGCAAACATTGAAATTTGCTGACGGACCCCTATTTTTTCCCAACAATAACGAACTTGGTTACATTAATTTATTGGTTTATTTCTACAGTGTAGCAAAAACCTTTCGTGTGTGATGCTCTTTATGCTAAGCTATTTACAAGTAATCAACTCTTTCGTCTTTTTTGCTTTTTCTATGAAGCATCTTTATTAAAGGTGGACTTGAGTGGGAGTGGGGACTCTGCATTATCTATTGTCTACTCAAATCATTGCATCTTCTGGCCTGAGGAATGTGCATAGCTTTTTTCCACTGACAGAGCTTTATCGGACAAAAGAATACATGTGGATCCCATTATTACATGAATAATTCAATCATGGAATTCTAATAATAATGCATGGCTGCTTTTTTGAAAATAGTAACTTTGATGAAGATGCCAGAGAAAATGAAACTATAGACTAAAAGAGCTCTTAATGGTAAAGCTCTTTACCTTTTTCGTATTTCTCTTTTATGATTTGAGTTGCGTAAGGAACAGGTAATATGAAATCCAAATCTTAGTATTCTTTTTTTTTTTAATTTATCCTATTCTAACTCTCATCTCTCTCAAACTATTGCTCTGCCTCTTTGCAGAGCGTAGAAGTCGAATCCCATACTTGAAATTAAACATCTTCACTCCAGTTAAAAGAGCGCAATGTGAGCAAAAATATGGCTTATACAGCTAGAAGTGACACCTTTGACCAAAAAAAAATAAACCTACAAGTGACACCACCAAATTCCAGTGATTGTCGTTTGGATTTGGCAAAGACCAACGTAAATGTAATCTAGTCCTCATTTTTGACAAGATGTCACGCCCCGAACCTTAATGGGCTCGCGACACCCCTTCGACGGTCGTATTGAAAATGTGACGTCCTAGGACTCATCATCGACCTACACGAACATCAAAACATAAAGCGCAAGCGGAAACGATTAAAAGCACCCAGACAAGATTAAAGACCAAGAGTAGTAGAACACTTGAACAAATGAACCACATACTTCATTCAACGGCACGTACTTACAAAATCCAACCTTACATACAAAGGCCACTAGGGTTAAAACCACCATCATCAAAAAGGGGCAAGTGATCGGGTAGGTTAGCCTAGCTATACAAAAAGGGTTCACCAACTCCATGGGCTCCTCTTTGGGATCTTGCTCCATCGGCTCTTCCTCGGGATCCCAAAACGCTGTGACAGACCATTCATGGTCAGAGTTGGGGGTCTGAAATGGTTATATAATAATCATGAGAACAGGTCTCAATAAGCAACACCCTAAACCCTATCTAGGCCAATGCGTACCTAGACAAGTCTTACATGCAATTTAACAAGTAACGTACAAAATTCACATCCACGCACTTACCTCGCCTCAATCCACACGTCACCTCTACTTGTTAGTTAATTCACAATAATGCAATAATAGCTCACGATCATAACACAACCACTTGAGCGCCACATACACGCACATTCACCCAATTCAACCAAGCACAATTCGCATGCGTGTCCAGCCAACTTTCTCACGACCCGCGTAAACACGCCTCAGGTCAGCCCTCCAATCAATCCGAGCTCCGTCCCGCGTAACCACACCTTAGGACATTTCTTTCTTTCCCATGACTCGCGTAAACACGCCTCGGGTCTTTCACGGATCACCGTCAACACGTCTCAAGTCCGTTCTCACAGGCACACAAGCCACACAATTCAATCAATTTCCAATGACCGCCGTCAACACGTCCCAGGTCTAACTTTCCTTTCACGGACCACCGTCAACACGTCTCAAGTCCGTTCTCATAGGCACACAAGCCACACAATTCAATCAATTTCCAATGACCGCCGTCAACATGTCCCAGGTCTAACTTTCCTTTCACGGACCAACGTCAACACGTCTCAAGTCCGTTAACTTTCATTCTACGGACCACCGTCATCACGTCTCAAGTCCGTTCTTACATCCAATCCACCACAATTTCCACAAAATGCACCATACTAAATCGAGCGCACAAAGGCCTCGATAGGCCATCGAACCTGGCCCCCAACACAGCACGTCCAACGCAATTTAGGCATAAAATCACACATGGGGAAAAATCACAAGTCAAACCGCCACTCAAACACACTCGCTTCAACAACAAACAACCAATGCAAATTGCCACTAATCGAACATTAATTCACACATGAACTATCACACATTTAAGCCCCACTTCGAGCACCAATCGGTCCCACAAATCATCACACAAAATGGCCCTTGAACCGCCACAATTTAGCCCACGTTTGCACCACAAATCAGCCATCACACTCAGCCATAAACAGCCACATTCAGCCACAAAGAACAAGGGAAAACCAAATACACAGATTCGGAGCAATTCTGGGCCAGCGCACAGTTCTAGAATCCCTTTTAAAATAAATAGTAATTCAACTCCAAAAATTATGAATTTAGGATATGTCATAGAAGACATCTCGATGAACAATTTTTATGAAGAACACAAAACCCAGTTCTATCTAAAACCACCTATTTTTGTCACCCAAAGTCGGACATAAAATATTTCGTTCGGACAGGCTATCCGGCTTTCAAAACACATTTTCAAGCAGTAACCAAATCTCCTTAGAAAGTTTTGAAATTTTTATATGTCATAGCCACAAATGTCCCCAACAATTTTTGTGAAGGAAGTATTTTGAAAATGGGTCTGGAAAAATTTATAAAAATTCGAACAGACCCGAAGGTCGGAAGAACAGTGTTTCCGGCAGACTAATTTCGGTCCAAAGATGGACTTCCGAATGGCCTCCAATGATTTCCAAAAATTCTCAAATTAAATTATGCCATACTTCAAGATGTTATGAACAACTTTTATGAAGAAAACTTTCACAAATTCCTCCCACAACAGTCACAGAGAAAATAGCAAAGTCCAGCGACGCAGCAGCAACCTTACCGGAAATCAACCAACAAGCACCACCAAGCAAACCAAGCACAACCAGCCACTAAACTAACTATCCACAACCTTAATCCACCCCTAAACATGTCCATTAGTAACCCATTATCCTAACCAAGGCTTAGGGAGCACTTACACTTAACCTAAGCAAGAAAACCGAGCGAAAGGAGCAGCTCAGTCACGGCAAAGCAGCAACAGCGACGCCAGAGCAGCAGCAGCCTCAGTGGACAGGCGGCGGCTCACGGCGAAGTCGGGTGGAGATGGGGGCTGAACGGTGGTGCTGGTCGGGCTGGAATGGAGGGCGAGAAGCAGCAGAAACCAGGGGAAGCAAAATGAAGAAGCAATTAGCATCGAAGCAGTAGCAGAAAATGAAGTAGAAGCAGCAGCAATAGCATGGGGGGGCA